GCGTCTACAGAAAAGGTAACCGGTCTCCCCACAATTCCGTGGGCGACATGGCCGACTGAGACTTTAGTGCAATCAAATGCTTTTGCCACAAAGGGGGTGCCCTGTACCGGGCGACCGTTGTAATCTACTGTTATCTGATAAGCACCCACAAGAACGGGGGTGAATTCAGCTGTAAATCCGGAGTGAATATCTCCAGTTACTTTTACCGGTAATTCCCCAGAAGGACCTCGAACGGCTACCGCTAATTCGGCGGTGCCGCCCCCTACAACCGCAATATGAAACGAACTGGGTTGATTGACGGGGATCAGTTCGAGGTGAGTCAGGCTCAGATTCACTCTGCTTGTGTCTGCCACTGGACAGACAAATGGGCAACCCCTTACTGTTTCGCCATTGAATTTTATATCGATTAGATGAGGCTTGGCGACGTCGGGGGTGAATGATACTAAACATCTGCCTCCCCCAACCACCTGAACGTGATTGGGTACTTCCCCTTCGTTTATTGATATCTCAAGTTGACCCTCTCCAGCTTGACTGGCATCAACTAAAAAAAAAAATAAATAAATTGACAATAATTTTATTCCTACTCGGGTTGATATTTGACTTATATATATAAATTTCTTAACGTTTCATAAATCAGTTGCCATTGTTTTGAATAATATTGCTATTAAGTTTATAAATGAAAGTGAAAGTGATATGCAATTGCAATAAATAACCATATATTATGCAAATCTGGTTAAATAAAAATTATTTATGACTAACTCTGACCATAGTGAATAACTTGTAGTAGCAATGTTTTTTTGTTTTTGCATAGCTATTTTGTTAACCAAATTCAAAACTGTTAATTATACTAATCAGAGAAATTGATACAAATTTATGGCACCATTTACCTTTCGGTTTTATCTTCTTTAAAAATAGAACTTTGAAACGTGCTCGGTATTTTTGTTTGTTGCAATGTTATTTTCCGAAGGATAATAATTACAAAATTTTAAAACTGTGTATGTATCGTATATACAAAAAAAAAAACAAGAAGTGCAGCAACAGTATACTCAATTGGAAATAAAAGAACAACCCTCACCAAAGTAAAGTCTCTTCATCAAGAAAAACAATACTAAACATGCAACCAATTTTAACCATTTGATGTCTAAATATGTATTATCTTTCTTTTAAGTAAAATCATTCGTAATTTTTTAATAAAGTTTGGATTTGTTGGCATAATACGTATTTTTATTATATGGTTTATTATTCAAAAATTGTTACCTCTATTATTATTGTTAATTTTATAAACTGACAACAAATCCTTTTTTTTTAAAATTAAA